ATCGAGTGCGTTGACAGTCCGTCAATCTTCAATCGATATCCGCCAACAGTTCTCACGGCAAGCGCGCACGGTCTGTGTTCAGCTTGGTTCCCTCTTTGCCTCAGCGATACGCCTGCCCCAGTACCAATCAAACATAGCTCCCTTTTCCCGTCTACCTCGACAGTGGCTTGTATGGTAGCTTGTGTCAGTGCGCTAATCGCGACCCTCCCAGGAAAAGAGGAGTACTCTAAAGTTTTATTGTGTACACGTGATCGGCTACGGGGACACTGATTCTTCCAGTGGCCAGGCCTGCCACACATGTAGCACCGGCTGGATCAAGCGTGCATCCGCGATTCCATCTTCACGGCCGTCAGCTGTTCGGTGAGTTGGCCCACCCTGGTCTGCAGTTCCTCCACTGTTCCTCCCTGTTCTCCTGCGACTGCAACGTGGCCAGTGATTCCTCGGGCAGCTCCCGGGCCAGACGCACCAGCTCCTCCACACTCAACTGACCAGTTGCTCGTGCCAACCGCAACTGGGCACCAAGCGCGGGCTGAACACCTTCGACGAACTGATCCGACAGCAACTGGTGTCGCGACACTCCGTCCGGCATCGGCAAAGCGCGATCCAACAACTGCTGTAGACCGGCGAAGAACACGGTCGGGTCAGATCCCGGTGCCATCCTGGCCGTCTTGAACCGCCTCATAGCCTCCTGGTGGTCGGCCGGCGTGTCGAACTCCGCTGCAAGGGCTTCCTTCGCGGCGGCCCAGTCCATCTTCCGAGGGCCTCTTCTGGCCGCCCTCGCCCGGCCCTTGAGGAGGGTCTTCAGCGCTGCCAACTTACCCCGGTCGGTCTCCAAACCGGCAGCCTCCGCAACCTCCTCAAAGTCCTCCAGGAAGGTCCGAAAATCCCCATCCTCAAATGGTTGCGGCCATGGGATCCTCATCCTTATCCTGGTCACGGCACCAAATGAAAGGAAGAAGGCCCTTGCTGTGGAGCTATTTATTCGGAAATGCCAACTGACCGGTTACAGACCATTGAACAGGGAAGCGAAACTCTAATCTGCATCTCAGTTCCAAAAACTGGACACAGATCTTCTCCCGAAAGAGTCTTCCTAGAGATTCGATGCCTCCACCCATTCGTTGGTCAAATCCAAGCAAATGTTCCACAGTGGTCCCACCAATTCCGCAACAGAATTCCATTTTTCAATCGACCCAAAGTGAAATTCTACGAACAACACATAATACTCGCGTGCGTCCCGATCAGTAGTATCACCGTTACACTAGTATGGTCAGGTTCGTTGATTATGGAGAAGACGTCTGGGCTTGGAGCACAGTCGACACATAGAAGCTCGTCTTTCTATTGGCCAATACTCTGAAATAAGACTTAACACTGAACATTTCGGTAAACCGATTACTTTGTATGGATGTGCTAACGGCACCGAACTTCATCAATGAAACACAATATGTGGCGCCGCGCTGAAGAGCTTGCGCGACAACGCAATACTGAACAGGAGAGAGTAGTCTTAAAACCATCAGTATGATGGACCACGTACACCAAGTCAATTGGGGACTGATGAAGCGTGCCGATTGAAGCTTGATGAGACGCTCCAATCATAGGATGTGTCCAATTCACGTTTAGGTGGCGGGTTTATTGGGGCGAGTTTCAAAGCCGGTGAATGATCGAATGTTATATACCATCTACCATAGACAACTAGATGACTGATTTCATCGGTCTCATAATTGTGCACAAACCTGCAGCATGAAATACGACCTTCTGGCAGTTCTTCGAATGTTTTCATGATAGGCACACTAGACAGCATCAATAGTTTATACTTGGATTAGCTACATGGCGGAGTCACGTGATCTGTAGATCAGACAGATGAATCACCCAACCTGTTAGTACTAGGTTAACTTGGGACTTTCATTAGTTGATCAAACGCACTGACAACACAGTTCGTCATCCAACCAAACAACGAGGTCCATTGTGTTGAAAATTCGCTTCCAAAATGCAGTTAGATTTCCGCGCTTCTAGTGGATTTAATGAATCATTTGTTAGCAACCGTCTCGCATTGCCTATTTTCTGAACCATTCTGAAATTAACCAACAAAGTCAGCGAAAAAAGGTCACCGTTCTAAAAGTGTACTGACCAGATTTGTGAATCCAAGCGAGCAAATGTTTAACTCCATATACGTTTCACTTGATGTTCAGGTGAAAAAAACTGAAATCGTTCAGCTGTAACACCTGTCTGGTGCCTAGCCGCCATGCAATCCGAAGGAAGCACGAGGGCTCGGTTACTGCCAGGTTGCCCAAGCCCACACAGGGGAAGTCGAGAGGCAGAGGTCGAGTTCGAACCACAGACCTGAATGTCAGTAAATTCACGCTATAACCACTTGAACTAACTCGCCCCCGTGTTCAGGTACGCGATATTATTGGTCAGTGTCCGGGGGCCAAACCTACCTAGTATGCTTCCAAACTCAATACGGATACTGTCCCTTCGAAAAATCTCCTTCAGGCGTAAAACTATTATCGTGCGGAATATGCCTGGTTTCCAACGACCATCAAAATAGACAACAATATATAATTATATTCCAGTGTACATTTTGTTTCTCATTTGGCTTTCCATTCAAGGACAGAAAACGCATGAGCGTTTGTTAAAGACTGTCTTAAAACAAGAATCTAACAGATGTTCCAATAAATTTGAGAATAGATTCAGCACCAAGTCTCCCTAATACAATATGAAGAGACCAGTCGTCCCCTTGTCTAGGCTTGGGCAACCTGGCAGTATCTCGGCTCTCGCAATTCCTTCGGGTGGCACAAGAAAGATGTTATAACTGGACGATTATTACTTGAATTTGAATTCGAATTCTTCGCAAATTTCAACACTTCACCGATACAGGCTTTTTTAGTCATTTTCTACGAACTTTTAACAACAGTTCCATCTAGTCTATGTGCATGACTTGTTTTCTTTCATTTTTTCATGATTCACTGTCTGTCCTAATGGCCGCTCAATCTGAAAGTTACCTGTCGACACACTGCTTATATATATCTACGTAATCCAGTTAGATTTAGCTGAAGTATGACTGTTCATGTTGTGAAAAGTCAAACGGATATGATCGTGTGCTACTTTCGATATTTGTTCTGAGTAACTCCCGCCAACCCATCGGTTTTACCATTACTATTGGCACCCTGCATTCAAAAAGGTCAGAAATACAAAATACTATTTTGATTTTCTATGGAAAAAAATGTTGGCAGCTCAGGTAGCGTAGATGGTTGTGCCAACAACTAACCCACCGCTACGCACCACTACGCTCCCCAATAACGAACTGATGATGTCAACTCGATTGATGATGAAATGGTTGCAATCCAATTGCCCTGCTCAGCGAACAAGCCGAGGACCAACTATCTCGATTCCATGTCAAGTGACATAATATCAGTATTCTAGAAGAAGTTAACTCGTTGTTTTCAGATTCATTAAGAAAAATCCTCTTTGGCTAGTGACTGTCGCGAGCAAGCTATCGTATAAACTTGTTTAGCCGGTCAAGAAAGTGGAGAAACTAATCGGAATCGTTTGATTTCAGTAACCCTTCAGTGGTTGAGACCGCCGCCGATAACAGAGGAAAACATCGTATGGCTCAACGGAAAATCCCCGGCCAGCTGTGTAATTAACTTGCAAGCAGACAGAATGTGGGGTCCTCATCCATCAAACATACAGACTCATCTCATCTGAGGTGACGCGTCCTCAAGAGAAGATCCAGTGACTATTCATATGCTCAAAGTAGTAGGGAAACTTTGGTGTAAATTCCAAATTTCCCTTTGCGATAATCTAAACACTGGCCGAATCTGTATACCTGTGGCTTTCAACGAAGTTTTTGAGTCACAAACACACTTGAGAAGTTAGTGGGAGCTACTGACTCTGTTCATGAAATAAGGTGCCATTATCTGGTTTAAAATTACAATGAAAGTACCAAAGTACACTCTTTAGGTGAGTATTGTTTCAAAAGAATTTGACTTTTTAAACTGTGCGCCAGATACTACTTCTACTGATCACAACTGTACACGACAGTTTAGGACCAATGGAAGCACAATCCCTGTCATAAGTTGCATCGTGAACACCCTAGTTTGGTCCGGTCCGCTAAGTCTATTCCAGAAAAATCTGCAATCTAAGGTGGCATACTTTAATGTCAAAATTTTGCTTCACTTCACTTCACACTTTCGTGAGTAAAATGGTTGTTTACCGAATTCGGATAAAAGGTCAAGACACTCAACCTTATCTTTCTTTTCCATTCCTGATTCGTCAGGAGTCCGTTGTTCGTCGTGGTTCAGCAAGGCCAGTGACCGAGCGCATGCCTACTATCTTACTCCAAGTGCTTGTTTGTCAAAGCGCGTAAATTTTCCACTGATTTTCACTGTTTCGCAACCGACCAATCGGAATCAGACAGGACCATGTCCGGATCATATAAATACTGTATTTCATTTTATCCGTAGCGGTTTGAGACACTTGAGTCACGACGATGAATGTGCAACTCTTCATTGTTTTTACAATGTGCTTTCTGACTATAACTGGTGGCCAAGCTGTTGAAGTGGAACGCACGTAAGTCACGCATGCGAAACGTTGATTGTGTTTTGTCACTTCTGAGACAGTGTTGAAACCGGCCATATTCTTAGACGCAAAATACTTTAGCGATGCGCAATAAAATTTCCGAGGCTCCCATTTCCAGTTCCAGCTGCAACGATAGTTTAGTTCGCATTTGAAATAACTAACGGTTAAATCTTTGTTCTGCGATAACAGGTTTCAAATGCGTGAAGTCTCCCAGTTCCAACCGATGTCAGTGGCATTCTTCTAGTCAGTTTCTATCCAGATTGCCTGAATGAATGTCTGGAGGTGTAGGCAACCTCGGAATGATTGTGGTAAGCTAGCACTAAGTCCCTTCCTCGTCCAGCTTCACTCTTTTCTTTCCAATAAATCATGTTTGTACGGCAGTGAAGAATTGGCGTTGAACACCGATGTCATACTGTCGATTATGATGATGATGATGATGACGATGATAATTTTTGGGCCTGATCCGTCACTCTCCTAGACAAACTGATTAGTCTAGCCTTTCTTACACAGCGGAATTCTGGAGCGAAAACGATGCAAAGCCCATCGTTCTGAAGTTAATTATCTCAGTAGCTGAGGAATATCTAAAAACCTACCAATGTATCGTTCCAAGAATAACTTACGTGTTGTTATTCATGTTGCTTCTAAGGTGGTCCAAACGCAAAGGTTTTAGGACAACATTCGCAAGAAAATAATTAATATTCAACTTGGATAAAGCTCTCAAAAATCAACCGATGGTTGTAGGCTGTAACAGTAGTATATTTTGCAGTTTAGAGTTCGAAGCCATCTTGTATGCATGGCCTCTCGTCAGTTTATTTGTGAACTGTTTATTTAAGTTTTAGTTCACAGGCTGTTACAGTATCCTTGCCATACCTGAACATCAAATTATATACATGCCCCCGTTACTGTACGGTCTTCTTAGATAATGTATATTCATTACGAGGATAGTCAAAATCAGAAGATGACACACGTCACGGCAGCCGTCAATAAATCTGATTGACCTTTGTTCAAACACCTGGCCAACTGTTTCCATCGCATCTGGCTGTATTGTAGGGCAGATTTGTGTAAGCCCAGCCTTCAGATTTACAAAGGTGCATGTAAGAGAAGGACATCGGAAAGTTAAGAAAAAATCATCCGGTTCTGAATGGCATTCAAACTTACTGCACACGCTAAAGAACCAGTTTCAAGCATTCTTTTTCCAAATGAACGGCAAAAAGGGCAAGCAGTGAGCCCAAGATCTTTCTGAACATCCGTATTTCAGGCAAAATATTGGCTGGATTTAATAACGTAAGACTGTTGAGCACACTCTTCAGGCCAACAACAATTTCCGCGCTTATTTTCCGGGAAAATCACTCTGAATTGCCGCAAAAATAATCGTAAAATTACCACAGTCTGAAGATTTCTTTTCAATTATGCTCTTCTTTGTTATGAAAGGCATTTCGTTCTCACTTTCATTGGGCCTGCTTTAACTAAACTTTTATCAATACCTTGACAAAATAAACGTCAAAGAAGTAGTATCGTCGTTATTCCAGAAGAAGACAACTGTTCAGACATTGAGGAGGTTTCTGTTGTCTAAGACAAAAAGCGCAAAGAATTGACCTAGTTCCAATGCACCTTAGGGATTCTGTGGGGGTTCAGCCTCCCATCAAACTGCGAAAACAAACAAAATCCTTTGCGTTTCATAGAACCATCAGTGAAAATACTGAATGATAGAATTTGTAACACTGCTAGTGGGTTTTTCCGCAGATTGCTTGGGTCACCTCTGAACTTTTTGATTCATTACCACTTTAGAAACTGGATGGCTCGAGAAAGAATTTGCTCTCAATGCTGGGTGAGTTCCCGTTTGCCTTCAAGAGGGTTACTTGTGGAATATAATTATACAACGTGCAAATTTTTACTGCTTTTTGACCTATGTAGTACAAGCTAATGGTATATTTTTGATAACTCTTCCAGTGGCGGTTGAACTGGACATAAGTTCGATTAAAAGAGAAGAACTGAGTGCCTTCTGACACCCATGAATATGGTCGCAGCCTCATCATTCTGGTTCATTTACCACGTGTTTTATACTACTCATTTGCATATGGGTAGCCTCATATTTTGTTGAATTTCTGCCCACAGCACTCTCACTCGGGCCTTCAATGGGCAGGAAACAGACAGGAGAACATACGGTCTTACTGATTGGAATTTCTTACACAAATAACAACCGCCGTAATCTTACGTATGATAATGTCCTAACTGTACTGCCAGGTGAAGGGACTGGTCTGGAATAAATGTGGTGATGAATTTCGGACAAAAGCTGGTGGAATCTCCATTCTTTGGGTACATTCACACTGTCTTAGATTTTCCTAGGAGCAGGGCCCTAATTTCGGTGCAAGAACTTCCAATAGATTTCTGATTTTCAATTACCCATGCATGTCTATTTCAATCATCTTTTAGGCACCTAATCAATGCATTCTCCTCCTTCTCTTTCTTAGAAATATTGCTCAGACGCAACCGAAGAAGATTTTCTCCTTGGTCTTCCAGTTAAACGACGTGATCGATTCCGTGGCTGATTCTCAGGCGAAATAATTTCCAATGAATAGAATACTGCGCAAATAAAACAATTTTACCAGAAAACAAAGCGATGCTGTTTTCTTGTCCTCGGGTATTTTGCGAGTTCATGCAATACTTGATAGGCAACTTTTCTAGTTGTGTGGTTCCGCGCTATTACTCTACAGGAAAACTTGAGGTTTTCCGACTTTTCGTATCAGTGGTAGTCACCAGTTCGAAAACTGACTACTTGTGTTGAAGAAGTTATCTCACTGCACAGACAGACCCCACTGAATCTTTTGCAGTTGATTTTCCATAAACCCATGGCCCGTGTAGGCCAGGTCTTCTAACTCAAGACTCAACCACTCATGCAGTGGGAATTCCACGCTAACTAATTGTACTATCTCGATTATGCTCTGCGGGTGAAAACTGAGTGTCTACTGGGACAAGCATTACTTTTCTTGTTACCCAAATATAAGTGCAAGCCTACAAACACGATAAACGCGGCTCTGCAGAAGAGACTTGAGCAGTCTTGGAATATTCTGGGGTTGCTGTTAAACGATGGAGTAGGGTGAGCTCTGCTTGAATCCGTCGATGCCTGGCTATAGAGGCTGCGATATACGCGTGAATACAGTCACCAATTAAGTTAGTGCAGTGTAAAACGTAGATAGTAGCTGGTTTTGAGCAAGGCTTTAGACAACCAAGGTTCTTGGTTGAGACGACGAATAGCTATCGTTCAACAGGTAATTAATTTAGACTGTTACAACAGACCATAGACCGGATGAACCAAATGTCACCCTGATTGAGCCAACTCAAGAAATGCTCGACAGAATCCAGTAGCTGAGACGACCGACAGACCAAACCATTGAACCACTTGTTTAGATACCTTGATGCAAATCACCGTGAATCTCCGATAGTTCGGAATTAATAATCAAGGGATGTTGGTGAGGTAATGTAATTCAATAAATAAGCGTTGCCGCGTTTTGAACTGTTCTCTTACGGAACTTTAGGGCCGTATCCAAGGAAGGACACTTGTTTCTTGGCTGTAAACGAACTTGTATCTTGCTGCTAGACCCCGAGTAAAAACTTGCAACCTCTTTTTTCTTGATTCGGTACTTCGTTGAACGGCCACAACGACGCAGTTTAACTCACCCCACAACTGAAAACCTAATGGCCAACAACGAGTCTTCAATTTCAATTTCACCTCTTTCTTTCGGATAATTGGCGCTATTCTCGGTGTATCGGAAGCCTGTAATGTCATTGGTAATTGCGTGATACCATTCTTAGGTGTAGATCTGCAGTTTTCGATTACAAGTTCTATGCATTATGTTCCTAGAGCAAATCAAGTGAGCAGCTAGCCGGCATAAAATGACCGTCCAGCCAAACCTTCATAATGAAGGTTTAGATGTCGTCCATCTGGCATATGAAACTGGGTGAGATTTCAGAAGCAAATGAGACACATTAGTTTGGGTCTAATGAACAAATCAGTGACACACTACATATTAAGTGTGAAAAATGAACCTGCACACCTAACGAATCGCCCGTTTGCCAGCTCCGGATTTCAGGTCATGTTCAGCTACAGTTTACTGAGTTCGCTGGGCTTTAGTCTGTTTCAAGATACAGAGTTTACTTGAAAACGGAACACACTACTCGTACAGCTGCTCATACTTATTTGAGAACCAGTTTTGTTCTTTTTGAAACCTTACTTCACCCCTGAGAAAGAAAAATAAAGCGGAAACCGATCGGCTGAGATGCAACAAAGTAGTCAAACGAAGTTTGGACACAAAAGACGTCCTTACTAGGACACTTCAGACGAATGCGGCTTATTTCAGTCACACAGATCTTTGACTATCAGCTTTTTGCTTCTGACCATAGGAACGGGCGTTCATGCAGCAGTCTATAGCAAGGTGAGTTTGATAAGCCATACGTCACAGTGTTACAAAACCATACATTTTGCGATTTGGTTGCATTTTTCAAACATAAACCTTTTTATTACAAGAACAGTTATAATAATGGTCGACAGCGACAACATGGAAAAAAGAAGACGGAAAAGGCGCCACGCTGTTATACTGAGCGAGATACTGTTTTACTTCTTAATTTACTGGCTTCATTGAGTACAGCTTCATAAAGTCTCAGTACTATATTGCGTAAGCTACAGAATACTTGGATTCAGTTTCATTCTTCCGGCGAACTGTAAAAAACACATGTTGTGATGCGTAAAATAATTTGTTGAACCGAAAAAACGATAACGCCACCTCAAACCGGTAGTGAGAAAATTAGACAATTTAAAGACCATTATTTTTTGAAACCGATACCTAATACTCCAGACATACTCGGGTCCAGTTTCTTATTTGGCCAACAAGAGGTCCGTTAGAATGAGAGTTTTCTGACTTATAAAAGAAACTTCCCGTCACGGAAAATTGTCGCCAGGACTAGAATCAAGAATGTGAGTCAATCGAATGGAAGCATGAAAATGGCAGAACCTCCATGACTTTGTCTTATTCTTTAGGTATATCCATTTCTTTGCTCAGGTGTAAATAAGCTTGCTTGTTCAGGCACGAAAAGTAATGGGCTTCCGACGCTCGCATGGTTTATCAGATGTCTGAGGCTCGAATCCCGATAAGTCCAAAGATATACACTACTGATTAGCTCTAGTAAGAGCAAAACCCGTGTTCGGTGCTTTCCATGTCTGACGTGGTTTCACTAGAAAACTGTTCCAGAACAGAAGCGTGATGGTTTGAGTCAAAGGGACGTGAATACGAATTCTGAAAATTCCCGACAACCTGAAATCAGACCCGATTTGCCGATGGAATGGCGCATTCCTTCCTCTGTCAGCTAAGGCAAAGTTTCGCAATTACCGGACGTTTATTTACTCACCACTTGTTGTTCATTTATGGCATCCGTCACCAGAACACCCGTTGTCTAAACCATTCGATTGCCCAAACCGTAGCTTTATCTACCGAAAGTGTGCCCTAATTTGTTTGCCGGTAGCCCACCATTTCATCTGGCTCTATCAAATGTGGGTTCATCCCGTTATTTATATTTTCGACTTTCTGGTTCTCTCTCTAGATCGGTGAGAATCCAGATCTTTTGTCACTTATACCCAAGGGGTACTTTACTCCACTCTAATATTATTGTTCAACTGGATGTCAGCGCTCACAACTTTTGGGACTTTTGGCAGCTTGGCTGTGCACGTTGGTTACTGGGCTTTTTTATCGAGCTTATCAATCGCCTTGCCAATCAACAATCAAGATAGGGGAACAAGCATACTTCTAGACAACCCTCAACATTGGTGGATCTCAACAAAACAACGATCGAAAGTAGGCAGCTCCTTGTGAGTTAATCCACAACCCGAATTTAGATTGTAGGAACAGTTAAATGGATCATTTTCACAGTATGAGAAAAGTGGACAACCAGTTCATTTCCATTAGAAACTTCTGACATTCTTTTGAGAAATAAACAGAACTGGTACAAAAACAACCAGTAAGTTCAGCAAAGGGTTGCGTTTGTAAACCTCGGCTGTTTGACTCGGATTTCAACACGAAATACGGCACAAATTGTTCGGTGTTCATGGACTGTTTTGACCGTCATAGCTGTCTTAGTTTAGTTAGCAACTTCTCATTTCCTTTCTGTGTACATACGGAGAAATCAAGTAACCAGCTTGTCACTGAATTCATGTAAAAGGAACAAAAACATCCTATCGAACTCGGGTCATTTTTGCCTGTCAGCTTAATTACACCTATTCGCGGCAAGTCCAAACGAATTTCCGTTCTTTCGTGTTCAACCATCCAAGATAGGTTTGATTGACAGACTGATTCGCGCTTTTTCAGGTGGTAAGCACACTCTTGTCGTTTTATGAGCCATTACAATGAAAGGTATTCCAACGGAGAATCATTCAAACTGACAATCGGTGGTGAGCGGAATTCCTTTAGGATGGACAGCTTTCGCTCCGTTTCAGCAATTTTCATACGAGCTATTTAAGACTAAGGCAACCGCTGAATGATTTTCTGCTAGCCTAAGTAGACTAAACGGTTGCCTTTTGGTCGCCGAAAACTTTGAATAGCTGCCTTCTAATAAACGAGAGCGAATGCAAACGTCTCGTATCAAAAAAACTCTCCAATAGGAACATCGATTTTTAACTCCGTAAATCGCCGTTTCGACCAGACAAAACGTCCATGGAAACCACTGATGAACAAATGCCGCACAAGCACTCAACAGGTACTCTCCATCTGCCAAAAAAACCCACTTAGTTTACCGGCAAAATATGCCAATAAGCACGCTCCAATGATTGGCTGTTTTATGCAATCATCCACTTGTCTAATGTTGATTCTCAATTGCAGGGCACTCTGTTTCTCGCTTTTGTATAAGACTATATTTGACGGCCAAAACGAGCAACCTTACTACTTTGGTCTACTATACATAATCTGGTTGTGACATCCGTTCGCATGAATAAGGGCATAACACATGAAGCCATTTCTGACGCGCATTGGTCTGTATTCAGACTAGTCCAGTTGCAACCAGAGCATCACTACCATGATTTTTGACTAGACTGAAAAACTGCATAGCCCGTTGTGGAACCAAGGTAAGTTGAGGTGGTGCACTGTGGTAAGTGGCGATGTCAAGTCGTAAGTTAAGGGCAAACGGTGGATGTGCCAAATAGTCAGCTGTTGAATGAAGCTGTAGAATACCAAATCAAGGAATGACTTTGGAACCTGATTTCGCTCACATATGGGATCGACAAACAACTCACACGTGTGCTACCAAACGGCTTGACGACCCCGTCTTTGTCCCAATAAAGAGCGCCCGCAAGAATTTGTCTGTTGTGACGATTCAGAACAGCTATAGCCAGCTGGATTTTGGGCTTCAGTGGAGGATGCTCCAGGAGTGAGATGTTACCAGGTTTGTTCCAATGGCTCTCGGAAAAGTTCATAAGCACATTCAGCGGAACAAATATAACCACGTCTTTTCATATCCAGAGGTGGATTACAGAAAGACAAAACATCCTTGCCACAGAGTCCCTTGAAAAATCTACGGTGGAATGAGTGGGTACACAGTGATTCGACCTTCTCTGAGTCACAGTTTG